TAGCGTAGGGTCAACTATAAAGATAGCTGGACCAAGTCACGTCTAGACTTGCCGAAGTAATAAAAAAAAAAAAAATATATATATATATATTCTTTTTGAGAACAGTAAAAATAATTTAATGTTCATTTGAGAACATAAATTAAAATTTGAATTTCACACACTGGTTGGGATCCGTTTTTGCTAAACATCCGAATGTCTGAGGATGGCACGGATATTTGGATGCCAAATTTTGCTCACGGATGGTGGGTCCGGATAGCAAAAAATATTCCGGATGGTCATCCGTCGGATGATTATATAGACTTTTGATTTACCATAATAATTATAAATAGATGCTGCTCATTTTATTGCAAAATATATAGTGAAAATAAACCGCTTATCACTTTTTAGGGATTATTATATTATACTTAATATCTCTTAATAAGTATAATTAGTGATTGGTAATTTATATTTACAGCTATTTTCATAATTCCTGGGACGCCTGATGTGTAAAATTTGCCGAATGATTTTTCGGCCGATCCGGTTAAGTCATTGATTTCGGGAATAAATAGATATAGATATACTAATACGTAGTTTAAGATCAGGTGAATAACATAATATATATAATATATATATATTACAGTATTACATATTGATATGCATATCTCTGGTTGAATACAGAAATTAGAAGGCTTATCAGTTCGAAAAATTGCCATGTTAACAAGTGCTCTATAAGTCGGGTTTCCAAACACTTTCAAAAATATTGAAAACTTCCATCATTTTCAAGAAAATCACGTTAACTAAACAAGAAAATATCTTAAAACCTTAACGAAAGAAAACCTAACTGGTATGGACTACAATCCAAAATGGAGCTTTGATTGAGATATAAAACTAGTCGCATAACAATTTAAAAATTTATACACTGACTTAGATATATACAAAAGAAAGTATTTTATATACTGTATATCTAAATATATTTTTATTTTATAAATTTATATCTGTGCTTATATTTCTTGTTAAGATTTATTGGTTGACAAGAATATCGGGCAAGTATTCAAACGAAAATTTAATAACGTTGATTATACCCTGGTCACTATATCAAGATCGCAGGGCATAAATCAGTTATGTCCTGGGCACTATGTGATAAGCGGGACTTTCAGCCCCGCTTATACCCAACTGCCCAGGAAATAACTATTACATGTATCGATATTATTAATGATAAAATTATATTATATGTAACATGAAAAGATATATTTTTTATATACCGATCATGCCATTTAGGACATGATGATTAAAAAAATAGTTCAATAACCATGTTAGAGTCGTCTAAGGTAATTCAGGGATAGTATTACAGGAATTTGAGATCCTTATTGAATACCAATTTTGATGCATCAAAAAAGACATAGAAGTCAGCGCAGTTAATGGCCATTATTTAATATAGGCCGTTTCAGCCCAGATCGCTACTTTTTAAAAGAAACAATAGAGTCCTGCAGCTCTAATAAAGCCTTTGTTTTTGAAAAATTACTTTAAACTATATAAATAATGTAAAAATTCAATTAAAAATAATAGCCAATCATGCGAAGTCCTACGATGAGATAGCCGAGGGTTTCACGTGATGGCATGTACACGCTTCATTGAATTCTCCGATTTGTTCCACATACATCTCGTTACACAATAATCCCAATAATCCACATATGTCGATATAATATTTAATCGTGGACGTGAATATTAAACGAAATCAATTTCTGATCGTGATTCATTTTAAAACAATGCGTGTTAGTGAGCAACGCTATGTACCAAAGAAAAAGGTTCGGGAGCCCTATTCTAAGCAAGAATTAGTCGGTAGAGGTGCTTATGGTTCTGTTTATAAGGGGTAAATATTCTAATTGTTACAATCTTTTAAGATTAAAACCAGAACGAAAAAAAAAACTGATTTACTTTAGTATTAATAACGACACAAACCAAGTTGTGGCCATAAAAGTGCTAAACTTAGATACTGAAGAAGACGACGTTGGGGATATCATAAAAGAAATCAACTTGCTTTCATTACTTAACAGTGAATCGCAAAATATTACTAGATATTATGGAAGTTTCCTTCATGGTACAAAGCTATGGATTATTATGGAATATGCAGCTGGCGGAAGCATCAGAACTTTGGTGTGTATATTTTTGATCGATTTTGATGTGAAAATTTCTGAGATGTTTGTTAAATTACGGGTTGTTATTCGTTAGTTGAAAGCTGGAGCAATAGAAGAAAAATATATATCTATTATTACGAGAGAGGTTTTACTAGCAATAAGTTATTTGCATAAGTGTAAAATTATACATCGGGATATAAAAGGTAATTTAAAATAATTTAAAGTTAATTATTAATCATAGTTAATCATACTTTAGAATTTTTAAAAATATCATTATAAACTTTATACTATAGCGGCGAACATTTTACTAACGGCCGAAGGAAAAGTACAACTTTGCGATTTTGGCGTCGCTGGACAGTTGACTGCCTCAAATGCCAAACGTACATCGTTTGTTGGCACTCCGTAAATATATCTGCAATTAAATTATTATCAGAATTTAAAATGTTGTTAATACATTGTATGCTGACTTTATAATTTTTTTATGATTAGATATTGGATGGCACCTGAAGTAATCACCGAAGGTGCTGCATATGATACAAAGGTTGGCTATTTTGCTAATGACTTTTATAGATAGTGTCATATATTTCTCTCTAACCTGATTGCAAATAATCAATTAATTGACTTAGGCTGATATATGGTCTTTAGGTATTACCGTATATGAAATCACAACCGGTAACCCACCATATCATGATCAGAGTGCAATGAGAGCCATTCAGCTTATTCCTAAGAATAGACCGGCTACGCTTGAAGGTCCTTATTCTGCACCATTAAAAGAGTTTGTAGCCATTTGTCTCAATGAAATATCTGAAGATGTATGTTTATAATGTTAGTTTTAAATCTGTTATAGTGTATATGATTAAGAATATTTAATTTTTATATATACATATAGCGTCCAACAGCAGATGAATTGATGAAAAATAAACTCATAAAGAGTTCTTCAAAGTATCCGAATGGAATATTGCGTGATCTTATTGCACGATTTGAGCAATGGAAACAGACAACTGGCTATCGTCAGTCTTTTTCGGATCCGTATGGAACCCCATCGAGGTAACATATACGTGTTTTATTTAATTTAATATTTTGTAGATAATATAGCCAACATTCAATTTTATTTAGTGAAAGCGACTCTTACGATTTTGAAGATGGTCAAAAAGAAGAAGAGGATGCTTGGGTATTTGATGTAAGTTAAATTCTTATGTTTTATTCAAATCATTAATTATCATTAATTGAGGATTAATTAGAATTTGAAATTTTTTTTATCAGACAGTGCAAAATACTGTAACGCATCGCAAATCGCGTTCTCTAGGATCATTACATAATAACGGTTCGGACCAATTATCTCCTGTTATCGAGGATGAGGAACATATGGGTTTAACGATAGAAAATCAATTAAAATCTCAAGAAAATGAAGATGTAGATCGGACCGTTTTACCCAGAGACAATACCGTCAGATATGGGCGAATCCTTACTGATGGGCTTCTATCTCCATCCACTCCGATGTTTCAACGTAAATATTCGGAGTCTCATCATCCATTACTTCAACTTTTTCAAAACGAAGAAAAAACACAATTTGACAATATTTCGAAAGAATCTTCACCAGCAGGTAGTTTTCGCAATCCAACAATAACTATACCGCCTATGAATATTATGTCCCTGATGCCACGAGTGGAAGATTCACCTTCAGTATCGAAGGAAAATTTTCAGTCTCAGAATATAAACACAAAATCAAAGGATGATGGACTGGAAAACAAAACATCTCTATCCACGCCAGATTTATCTACTACCTCTTCAGATTCATCATTTACCCGGATCGATACATCAACACCAATTGAGATTGTCGTTCCTGCTGCTAATTCACAAATAACATCAGATTCGGTCCCAAAAGCTACTCCATCCTCTCAACTGGAGCCTAATGGTCTTTTATCGCCCACTTCTATATCTGTTACAAAGCACATTCCGAAAAGAGAAGAAAGTGGCTACTTCTCAATTAATCATGAACAATTAAACAACTCATCAGAAAATAAAATATCTAATTTTTCAGTACATGACAATAATAGCTCAGGAGGATTGTTAACGCCACCTCTAATGGGTCATATGGTTTCTAAATCAACCAATGATATATTTAATCAGTCATATTCATCGTCACCGGGAAAAATGAACTATATTAAATATAATCCTACACGCCATGGAAGTTACGACAATCAAATGGACCCATCCGCAGGATTTCCGCTTAATAAGCTAAGTGGTCAAGGAAAAATATATCATCCGCAGCTAGCGCGTCGTGCAAGGTCTGCAACGACGTTAAATGCAAATCGTCAAACGAATGAGGATCCAGCTATAATTAAGTCTAGGCATCAGCAAAAAGATAGTAAGGGCAGTGATATAGAGATAGGCAGTAAATTCGGCAGCAATTTAGGAGTAGGCATACCTAGACAGCGAGCTATTAGTATAAGCAATCTACAGAGACCTTCAAAATCAAAAGTATACATTTGCAATATGCATTGTTTGGATTTTGACAGATTGGTAATACATTGGTCTAATTATTACTTTTTTTTTTTTCTTTAAATATATATATATTATAGCTATCACTTGTTGAAGATACTTCATCATCACATTTGTTGCCACCATCCCCGTCTACTGCCAAATTTCTCAATAATTCAACTTTACCTTCTCAAGGATCACCTACGCGGTCAATATTTTCCAATCAATCATCAGTAATATTAAATACTGGACCTGAGCTTCGTCCATTAAAGATGGATAATTATCGTGGTGTTAGTGAAGTTTATGAGGATCTAACAAAAACTACAGATGATCTTTTACAATGGATGACACTTTTGGAAGCTGGTATTAATCAGCTTATTACAAGATTTTGAACTTCAATGGATATTATCATTCTCAATATTTAAAAAAATAATAATTTTAGCTAATGAACGGAGAAATTGTATTAATTTATGTAAACGTCACTTGAATATGTTAAAGTATTTGAAATTATTATTGAATACGTTAGCATAAAATTTTTTATTGGGTTTATGTCAAACATGACAAAGTAAACTTTTAAGATTCCCATCAGAATTGTTACAATGTAAAAAACAATGCATAATTCATAATTTTTAAACCGATTTCTTTTTTTTAAAAAAAAAAAAATCTAAAAAAAGTGTTAAATAAATGTAATGAAAAATGGGTTTCCTTTTTGGATATTTTGTGGCACCAATAATATTTTGACCATACGTACGATAACCTTGAATACAATAGCAAATGTTTGGACGTCCTCTAATCTATTTTCTACAGGGGATCCCCAAAATTCCGGGTCGTAATGGCTGGAACGCGTCGTGGTTAGGGTCGTGGTTAGGGCTGAGTTAGGGTTAGCGGGAGCTATAGGCTATAGTAAAATTATCAGCTGGGCACTTTTCACTTAATGAA